CCACATAAATATCCGAAAAAATTTTTTTACTGTGAGAGTGACAGAGCACTGGAACAGACTGCCCAGGGAGGTTGTGGAGTCTCCCTCACTGGAGACATTCAAAACCCACCTGGATGAGTTCCTGTGTGATGTACTCTAGGTGACCCTGCTTTGGCAGGGGGGTTGGACTAGATGATCTCTCGAGGTCCCTTCCAGCCCCTAAGATTCTATGATTCTATGATTCTATGATTTTGAATCTTACAGAAACATTTTTGGCTTGGAGAAAACAGAAAAACAGAAAGTAACAGTAGAGATCTTCTATTTTGATCCTGTGATAATTAAACAACTGGTGTGATAAAAAATTTCCATATGCTTTGTGAAATGTTTTTTGCTCTGCCAGATTAGAAACATTTTTGGCTTGGAGAAAACAGAAAAACAGAAAGTAACAGTAGAGATCTTCTATTTTGATCCTGTGATAATTAAACAACTGGTGTGATAAAAAATTTCCATATGCTTTGTGAAATGTTTTTTGCTCTGCCAGATTAAATGCTTTTACCTGTACAAGTGCCTGTGTAGCTCTATTCAGGCATCTGTGTATATATAATGGTTGTTAGAATGCTTGTTACTTTTAATTGTACAAAAATAACTGAAAAACCTACTACATTCAATACTGAAACACTAACTTCAGTCCATACATTCACTCTGCTTGTGTATCTGTAAAATACAAATACTGAGCAGCTCTAAAGAGTAATAAAATAATGTTGACAATAATAGTTCCCTGGATTGTCGTATATCCTCTAAAACTGATGGCTGAGAGCAATGGACCAAATTAATCCCTCATGTAACTCCATTGAGTTCTGAGGAGTTACAGCAAGGATGGATTTGGTCTAGCATGTAGAATCTCAGGAACTGTTTACACTTAATGGCAATTTTCTGAGCAGCTAGCACTCCTTAGAGAAAATAATGGTTGGTTTTATTAACCTCTTTGATTTATTTTTTTTTCCATTTTAGTTCGATACAATTATGGGTACAAAACTGTACATGGATAGAAAACCTCCACGTGGAGATCCTTCTGTTTGGAAACGTTTGGCTCATGGAGGAGTTCTGCATGAAGGTTCCTAGGCAGAAAACTTTTTTTTTTCCACATCAGTCCCAGGAGGGAGCACAGTAAATAAAATCTATTCAAGCCAACTGACTTCACTGAGCTGCCTTGTCCCAAAGGGCTGGATGCTCCGCTTGGGCAAGACTCACTTAAGGAAGCAGTCTGCTCATTTTCCTAGTGAAGGACAATGGGGAAAGCTTTTGGTTCCTCTCTCCAGGGAGCAACCCACTGGCAGAGCTCACTGACACTTCTCCAGGGAGACTCAGTGGACCTTTCAAGGCTGAATGTTTTGCAAGGCATTCTTTACAAGGCCCACTGAACCTCCCCATTTTTGTCCTCCAATGCACACAACTATTACATTCTACTTTTAATAACATTACTTTCATCTTATTATTAGAGTTTTTGAAAATAAGAGAAAATAAGAGAAAAACACCAAAAAAACTCCACTGTATCTTTGCATAGAAAGGGAACGTAAAATACAAATAGTAAATATACATGAGAAACCAATGCATTGAGCTGCTCTAGAATGCATTGCAAGTGCTGTATTTCCTGTACAGCAGTGGCTAAGTCCTGCTTTGCTGGACGCAGTATGGACATGTGGTGGTCTTGTTCCACCAAGCAACTCACCCAAATCACATACATTTCTCACATCTGCCCGAGCCATATGCAGAACCTACCCAACACACCCCCAGATGAACCAAAGATCCCAGACGGATCCAGTTTGCCAGAAAGGACAGCTCCTTCTCAGCCACTGCATTCTGCCCCCCTCTCCCCTATGAGTAGAAAACGTGATGGAGAAACCCTTAGCCTGGCAGCACCTTTTTTATTTCCTTCCCAATACTGAAGAGAAAAGATGTAACTATAGATTAACAATACTACTAAAAGGAATAGGTAAGAACACAGGCATTATACCAAGTTGTATGTAAAGGGAGAGAAAAGGTATTATGTAGTATAGTCTCACTTTCTAAGAATTTCCATCAAAAAAGTTCCATGACAAACCACTATTATACACTTAGGTGTTTATAGAGGAACCATAAAAATGTGATTGAGGTTAAGAGTTTGCATACCACAGTTTCAGTGCAGGAATCCATTTCTCAGCTGCTTTTCATTAATTTGTTTGAATTAATTTTCATGAAAATCACTTCAGCAATTTAGTATTTCAATAAAAACAAAGCGCATAGGTTTGGGGCAATTCTTGCAGCAGCTGAAATTAAAATAAGATCATCTCATTTCTTGAAATATCTTGAGAAATTACTTGAAGCACCAGCAAGAATTCCTCTTTGAGTCTTACAATGCAAAAAAACAGGAAGGGAGGAGGGCACATAGCTGCAGCAGTTCATTGCACCTCACCAGTGCACTGGGACCCATGGCAGCTCCTCTGAAGGACACTATCCACAGAAATGCCTGCTTGACAATGGGCATGCTTGGCCACTAGACAACCCCAGCAATTAAAGTTAAGAGCACCTTTCTGTTCTCACCCTCTGCTGCGGCCCAGATGCAGCCTAGTGTGTTGGCTACCATGGGGCTTGTTCTTGTCATGCTTATATTGGCCCAATTTGGAACTTTATCCTTTTGGATGTGAGATGAAAATCCAGTCCTTCATGGTTATATTACAGTCACCATGCTGAGTGGAACTGGAGGTTGAATGTACTTTTAAAAGTGAGTTACACATGGGCCAGAGAAATCTCTATGGATTGGCAATGTGAAGTCCCAGTTTTAACTCTGGATAAGGAAAGAACACTTCTGCTCAGGCTTCTGGTTCAGCTCCACATGCCAAATTCATTATGATGTAATCAAGTGCAACTGCACTGATATCAGCTGTCAACAGACTTCCTCCTACCATGCCAGCACCAAATTTGGCCCCAGAGCTGGGGAGCCCACAAGCTTGCATCAACAGCAACTACAGCAGCTATTTTAAGCTGGATGGAGTTCTTACTGGTTCAGATGCTCTAGGATTACAAGGTCATAAACCTATGCTATCAAATCCACGCGGGTGCTCTGAGCCAGACTTTGCCCTTTGATGCATGCATCCAACTGCCATTGAAACTGCTGGACGCCAAGCACATCTGAAAGTGGAGCCCTGCCCGCACGGTTTAAATTGGCTTAATTCCTCTAGTACATGCAGCCTGTTGCTCCACACTGTATTTATTAGACAGTTTCATTTGGGTTTTTCATTTGTTTATTTTGTGTGCTGAAGGCTTTTTGCTGTCCTGTTTAGTATTCAGGGCTTAATGTTACTCTGATTTGAATAAAATACATCTTATTATTTAACTGAGCTCAGAAATACCACATCACCCCACACACTCTCTGTGGTTTAGATGTATTTTAGCATATCTATTCAAAGAATCATAAAATAAATACAGCAAGATGCAGTGTTAAATGGTCTCTCCTCTGAGTGCTACAGCCATGTCTTTCCACATAATTGATTCCATACTTGCAAACCTAAAACTATTCAAGTACTACAACACTAACAGATTGATTCTGAAAGTTTGTATTAACTAAAACTGAACCCTAATGTAGGAGGAGCACAGTAACA